AGACAATTTCCATCACGCATTCCATATGCCACCGATTGTCGTGGATCAATTAAAATACTGTCATCACAGCTTTTGGTACTCCAGCAACAAGAATGATAGAATACATGGTGTAATGAACTGAAGGTGGCGCATTCCCGAAACCGCTACTTTGGTTTTGCCGACTTTGACGTTTATGGCAATACGTAAACAAACTTTTTGTTTATAAACAAGTGCAAACGTATTGCAAACGTATTGTGTATTTTCTAGTGAAAAATCGAAGTAATTCGTGCGTTCTGAAGTAAAAAACATTTTATTTGTAATAAAAACTTTATAAAAATGTCGTGTCGTGTGTTGAATTGCAGCAGCCGTAGGGGTAAAGGCCCTAAATGCAGTTTTTTTTTGTTTCCCCGCGACGACGCCTTGGCCAGAAAGTGGGTAGAGTTCTGCCGGCAGGAGAAGCCATACAATTTAGACACCAGCGTAATATGCATGAAGCACTTTACGGATAAGGATTACATGAGTAACTATCATTTATTTTCATTACTTATATATGTCGATATCTAATAAAAGACTTAGGAACTGCTAGTCGACCATCGCTTCGCCGCGACGCCATGCCAACCATTTTTGAGTGGGAAATAGATCCTGCTCCGGTGTGTGAGTCACAAAATGACAGCGTTGAGGAGATCATTGAGCTACAAAATTGCGAAGGTAGCAAATATTATACTATAAATATTATATTATTAATGTCAGTGGTTTATTAGTTGGTTTAAATGAAGGCGATAAAGTATATCGGCCCAGGGACGGTACTCTTGATGCTTCGACGTCACCTATCCGTAACTGTGTTTACTATGATAGTGATCTACAGGAAGTGGAAGTGTTGAAAGTGGAAGTGTACGTTAATAAGTAACAGATCTTTATGTGTAAATGTAATAATATCTTATATTTCTCTTATTTGAAGTGAGACATTCAAGCGCGAAAATGCACACCTCAAAAAGGAAACCGAAAAGCAGTGCACCGAGCTCGCTACATTGAAGCGGGAGTCCGACCTGCAATTGAAGAGACACGCATGGAAAATGGAGTCACTGCAAAAACGTTTGGATGAAATGGCTGCCCAAATGAAAAATGTGGAAGATGCACTAGCTTCCATCTTCACCAAAGGGCAGATAGCGAAGCTGAAGTCTGGGTCGAAGCGACGAAAATGGGCGGAAGAGGATATTGCGAAGTCAATATCGTTGTATGCTGCCAGTCCTAAAGCATACAGGTTGCTATATAAGCAATGCCTTCCACTCCCATCGGTCCGCACACTTCAAAGTTGGGCACAAAAACTGGACATTTCGCGCGGACTTATAACCCCAGTCTTCCGGTTATTGGCCGCCGCTACCCACATGAACGAGGCACAGAAGCTATGCGTGTTGAGTTTCGACGAAATGAAAGTAAGACAATCTTACTGTTACGATGTTTCGTCGGACTCAACATTAGCCCCCGTCAACTACGTGCAGGTAGCGATGTTAAGAGGTAAACATTACAATCAAGATTTTATAGAATATCAAACCTTTATTAAGGCCTTTTATATTTCAGGTCTCATGGCAAAGTGGAAACAGCCAATCTTTTATGACTTCGACTGCAAAATGACTTCCGTTTTGCTTCGAAGCATGTTGCAGAAGTCAAAAGATTGCGGCTATAACGCAGTGGCTGTCGTATGCGATCTTGGAGGTACCAATAGGGCCCTATTTAATGATCTAGGCGTAACTGAAGACCAGCCGTGGTAAATAATCACAATTAAACTTAATGATTTCAGTTCTTATAATACTTCTCATTTCCATAGGTTTATTTTCAATGACCAATGGATTTACGTTTTCGCTGACGTGCCACACTTGCTAAAACTTTTGCGAAATCATTTCCTTGATCAAGGTTTCCTAATTAATGGGAAACCTGTGAAAAAGGAAATAATTTTGGAGTTATTGTCAATTACAAGCACGGACTTGACAATAACTCACAAGATTTCTGCAAGTAACTTGACCGTGGCTGGAGCTCACCGCCAAAAGGTCAAGACGGCAGCGAAACTATTTTCGCATACTGTGGCGCAGGCCATAACAAGGGCAGCAAGTCTGGGTCATTTGCAGAACCAAAACTGGACCGAATGCTTCCAGTTATTCAAAACAGTAAGTGTTATTATATTATATTATGAAATTGATATATTATATATTTTACTATATTACATATCGTTATCTTAATTCACAAAGGCTCTAACCAACAGTTTTTCGTAATAAAATATAGCTTAAATAAAAATTTCAAAGTGTTAGTACCAAAAGCAACGGAGTTACATGCCCCTTTTTCAAAAGCTCTACCTATTTTCGATACTATTTTTATAACGTTTATTGCTTCTGCTATAAAATATAATTATTTTTTTTGTTTAGGGCCTTTGTGAATTAAGGTTACGATATATTTAAACCGCAATATTAAAACTCATATCCAAATTATACACCTTAGACAAATGACTGGTTTGACGTTCTAAACGTCAGGGTGCCTCACGCCGACTCCAGGAAGCGGTGTCTTGCTTACGGTTTAGCGATCGAGGAGCAAAACAAGATCCTAGACGAGATGACCGACCTAGTCAAAAATATGAGGGTGCTTGGCAAATTTAGTCTGCTGCCATTCCAAAAAGGTAAACTAATACATATGGTTATCTCAAGAATAACATTAAGGGCCGGTTGTTCAATGTCTGGTTATCAGTACTTGCCGGTTAAACATCATTATCGGCGTTTTCGATATCATGCATATAACATGTGATCGATAAAGCAGTCTTTGTATTTAACCGGAGCTTCTACCTCCGATTTGTGCTAATCAGACATTGAACAACCGGCCCTAAATGTTTGTTATTTTTTCTTACTATATCCCTAGGAATCATTCAAAGTAATACGGCGTTGAAGTTGTTATTCGAGGACATTAAAGCTCGCTTTAATGTCAAGTATGTCTTGACGTATCGGCTTAACCAAGACGTACTCGAAAATTTCTTCGGCATTATTCGGTCAAAAGGCGGGTTACATGATCACCCTGACCAACAGGAATTCAAGTACCGTCTGCGACTATACCTGCTAGGACACAACAAGGGCGTATTATCCGATTCTGCTAATGTAGAAGAGGATGATACGCCTGACATAGAAATCACGCAGCCTCCGCTTACAAGTAATTCAAAATAATTTTTTATCTATTTCATTCGGCTTAAATATAAAAATATATTTTATTAATAATCGCACATATATATTTCACCATATTTACAGGTATTTTGCTGAAAAACTTAAGCTCTAATGCAGAACTGTGGCCGGTTGAAGAAGCGGAATTCGAGGATTTGGAGCTAGACGGACTCGAGCATTTAGCGGGATATATTTGCCACAAGCTGCAGGATGACATTCCCAGCACGTCGTTCAGGACAATGACGACCATTCATTCTCCTGGGCGGATCACCTTAATGAGGGTGGGTTATCCCCACCAAGCTCCTCTATGATGGTCCATATGCGAAGTCTTGAGTCAGTCTTTAAGGCATTGAACGAAGATGGCTTGCTCATTACAAATGATTTTGTAAAAACTCACATTGAGCATGCTGCAACAATTCAATGCGACATTAAAGTAAAAAAATTATTTTTCAGGGCAAGAATGTTCTTCAAAATACGAAAATTAAATAAAGAACTCGTTGAAAATGCCCACAAAAGAAAAAGAAAAGCCAAAAAAACTCTGACCTAGATCGATCCATATGGTACCATTATAGAACCGTAAGTATTGCATAAAATACCAAACATGTGGTAAGTTTTGAACTAAAGCGTTTTTAAATTTGTAGAAATTAACCGTTCTTTACTTGCAGCATGAATCAATGTCCGCATTTCACACGCACTGATCTCAGTATTTCAGACTCCTAAAATTAAAATACTTGCATGCTACGTAAGTCCCTAGTTTTAAAAAATCATCAAGCGTCTTTTATACAAATATAAACTTATTTATTTGCAGGCAAGTAATATGATTTATACAAAGGCCCTTTTCAGGGCCGCCAATTAATTAACAAAGAGATTAAAATTTTATGCTTAGATAAATACATATATACCAATCAACAAGAGGCCCTTTTCAGGGCCGCAATTAAGTTGACAAAGAGATTAATTTTATATCCTATATATATTTATGTTCTTAACGTATATATGTATGCATGTATCTTTTTAATAATTGTCATTTAAAATGTATGTTTTTTTACTTAGATTTAAAAGCAATTACTTAGTTTTACACATCATTTTGCTTCGTTATAGTTAAACTTAACTAAGCGGATCAATGAAAATATAATATACTGCAAATATATGTATATAATATACTGCAAAATAAAGACTATAGTAGTAAAAATTTCAAATCGAATAAATGTTTATTAAAACTATACCTATTGCACTAGCTTCCAAAAACAGAGAAGAAAAATAACTATGACGTACTGAGCTCTGGTTGTTGATGCAAGACTATTTTGCTGAGACTGACGTGACACACACCAATACACCAGGTTGGTTTGCACTAGTTGGTGTCGGCTGGTTTACAGAAAAACTATTAAACTCCAGGTTGATTTTCGGCGCCGATGAAGCAACTGAGCCGAAGATATCATCAAGGTTGACATTTGAACTTGGTTGTACATTAATTTCTAAAATAGAAATGTAGGTCTCTATTCAGAACTTAGCAAATATTAATTTGGATGGCCGCCTAAAAGTCTAAGACTTTTTTGAATCTACCGAATCCTTACCTAAAATATCAGGTATTGGAGCCGAGCCAATGCCAGATGAATTATCATCCCCGAATGCTCCAAGCAAATCGAAACTAGCGACACTCGTTGTGGCTTGTGGATCTTGCACCGGCAGCTGGGGTTGGGGCTGGTTTAAATTGAGCATGTCTATTGGTGGTGATGGTTGAGGTTGGATTCGAGGTACATCCTCTTGCTTTATTTCGGTAGCATCTGGTAAAATAGGCGTTATCTACGGAAGCAGCTGACCTAACAGGCGTAGGTTTGTTGATCGAACTAGGTTTTGTCACTGTTGTAAGGAAAATAAATAAATAATTGAAATGGGCGGAAATACTATAGGGACTTGCCGAAATTATCCACCATTTCCTCGAATTCTAATTGCGAACTAAATATATGTTGTGCGTTTCTTATGGGCTTTGCTGGTAACCAAGGAGGATTCCTACTCGGCGGAAATTCGTTATCCGTGAAACTCAACGACAGCGAAACCTAAAAGTCATGAGGAACCTGATCGGCATCCGGTAAATCATCGAGATCATTCGAGGAAAATGTTATCAATGTTTCTTGTTCCGGTATGAAGCCCGTGTTGATTTGGAATTGACAAATCTTTAAACTCTGAGGACGTACCATGCCTTTAAGTGCATTCCGCGCATGATAAAGCACCACTTCATTTATGGAAAATATGGAAATTAAGCTGCATCACCACCGGCATGCCTGCCGCGACTTATTTTTTCCAAACCCTGTAAGCAAAGTTTATATTAATACGACACAAATTTGTTATTACTGCCACGCACTCACCAAATTAAATGATTCCACAAGCACAGTGCATGATTTACAAGGCGGCAACTTAGTTGATTTTTCCTTTTGGTCCTTTGGAGATTTGTCAAAAGCTTCCACAGCTTCACAGTTCTCAAACAGCAACACCAGCCTACATACAATTGAAAGCACCACTTTTAAACACGACATGTTAAGTTGAAAACGTTGAAATACCACAATTTACAAATTAAAATCGGAGGTAAGCAAGCATCGACCACTTTGTGCAGGAAAACATGCGCTGCGACAAGATATTATCACCTTTCCGGCACCTGCAATACAAACACAAAATTCTTTCTATTCTTTTGAACACATTTCAAGAGTGGTTGTATAATTTTTGTTAACGTTGTGCTTAATTTGCTATAAGATGGCTTGAAAAATTGGTGAATTGTGAAGAAAACACGTTTTCTCATTGCAAATTCACAACTGTCAACTCATTGTTCTTCGCCAAATTCTTTGTTTACCCGTTGCCGCAAATGTCATTCTGCGGGAATGCGCAATCTTGTATTCTATCGTTCTTGGATAGAATACAAGATTGCGCCGATTGCAGCAGAATTCGTGAGAGTAATTTTAGCGTGACGTCATCGTAGAGTTGACAACTGAGAGCGGCGAGAATGAGGGCGACTAGTGATGTGCTGAATTGTCCCCAATACTCGGTACCCAATACTTAAAAAAGATTTCGGTACCCTATACTTCCTTTTCGTATCCGATACCGATTATTTACATTAAACCCTCGCCATTATATGCATTTCAGGTTTAGAAAAAACTTTCATTACTAATTTATATGATATCGGCTAATACACTTGAACTTATCGCCACAGAAAAATATTATTTTATCAGTTTTAACCATTAGTTGGTCCAAGGTTCAAGAAAAATACTTTGACGGATGAAGAAGCCTTTGAGGGGAGAGATTCTGTAGCCAGTTAGCGACAAGTTTCGGATCGATATCGCACTTGTTGACTTACAAATATTTGATATCAAACGTCGACAAAACCGATACCGATTCGAAAATTGTCGTTAACTGGTTACAGAATCTGTCCCAGGCCTACAAAAATGATATCGTCCGATTCAGCTGGAACAAAAATGCTTCAAACAAGTAAGGGTTTCTCTGTATTATGGCATCGAACCAACATATATACATCTTTCATTTAAATCAGTAAAAAAGCTCTATTGGCTCTTACATTCGGGTTTTGTTAGGCGTTTTTTCCATATTTTTGGCCTATGTGCGCTTTTATTCGAAACCTAAATGTTTCGGTACCGAGTATCGAGAGTATTGGGTACTTAAAAGTATTGACTCAGCACATCACTACTGCTGTCTTCTCTACTATGACGTCACCAAAACAGCTGATTCTGTCAAAATCACTGAGAGCCGAGTAGCGGTATCGTCATCGGCGCCACCTCTGTATTCTCTCCACCGTGGTATGTATGTATGTTTGTTGGTTAATACGCAAGCTAAAACTATTTATATTATTGTGAAAAGAATCATAGTGCCCTTTAATAACGTGCATATGTTTATCTGAAAAGCATTTGTAGCATAATAAGCATTGCATTTTGCCAAAAGCGTTTGCCAACATGAAATACTTTTCGCACAGCATTATTTTACGAAATATATGTTCAGTATGCATGGACAGAGTGCAGCCAACTTCGATGTTGCTTCGTTGCTTGCTCAGCGACGACTAAACGAAAGAGAGTAACAAATGCATGTGATGAGAGCTTCAACAATTGTTGTATGCATGGTTGCCACAATTGGTAACTTTCTACCAAAATTGGTAGCTTTCAAGCGGTTTGGTAACTTGGTAACTTTTATTTCATTTTGGTAACTTTTGCAACCAAACATCTATTTGCATTACTAGAAAAAAATTAATTATGTTTTGCATGTGCGTTATTATAAAAACCCTTTGAGTTTCAGTGGCAGTACTACTGACACTTCTACAAAATTACTTCGATAAAATTAGAGTTATCTTATATTCGAATACTAGAAATATTTGAATTACAGTGGCAGCACCACGGACTACACTTCTAAAGCAACTATCGAATTTTTGCGATAAATTTTGAATCCTTCTCATATTTAATACTGGAAATACTGTTTGCAACAATAGTACAGTAAAATTGGTATACACAATTCGGCCATCTGGCAATTTTTGGTAAAGTCCATAAACAAAAAAAAAAATGTCGCGTACTTTTTACCAGACCCACCTACTGACATGTATTTCGACCCAATGAATCCGAATCTGAGGTCTGTTTGACACGTAAAGTAAATTATGTAAAACCGAAAAAATGAGCAATTTTCGCAATTCACTCGAAATTGTGTACGCGTCAAATGGACGGTTAAAAGCGCCCGCAACTTTTTTTCTGTGGGGCGGTGCTATTATTCCGTGAGTCGGAGGCTCAAATATCGGTACATTCCGAACGAAAAATGAAACTGAAGATGGCACAACGCCGAAACCGGTTTTGTCTCCAAACCAAATTTGGCAAGGGATGACCGAAAATCGTTCCACATTACATTACACTCCTACCCTATCGGAAACACCAACAACGAAAATGAGAATATCGGCGCATGCAGTAATTAGTTGATAGAAAAATATTTTCTAATAAAAAAAAACATTATAATTTCCAATAGGATTTTCAATCTTGATAATTCATTAAGAAAATAGATTTTAACTTCTGTGCTAGAGTTGAGAGTTCTTGATAATAATCAAAAATTGGAAAATTATAAAAATATTGAATTTATTAAATAAGTGCACAGAATCGGGCTGTAAGTATATACACATTTGTTGTGAAATATGGCAGTTTTATTCAGTATATTTTTTTCTCAGTGAAGAAGTGAAGATTTTGGTAGTGAAGATTTGGTAACTTTTCTTGAGATATTTTGGTAGAAAAAAATTTTGGCGAGCGGCAACCATGGTTGTATGGCGTGCCGACACGGTGGAGAGAATACAGAGGTTGCGCCGATGACGATACCGCTACTCGGCTCTCAGTGATTTTGACAGAATCAGCTGTTTTGGTGACGTCATAGTAGAGAAGACAGCAGTAGTGATGTGCTGAGTCAATACTTTTAAGTACCCAATACTCTCGATACTCGGTACCGAAACATTTAGGTTTCGAATAAAAGCGCACATAGGCCAAAAATATGGAAAAAACGCCTAACAAAACCCGAATGTAAGAGCCAATAGAGCTTTTTTACTGATTCAAATGAAAGATGTATATATGTCGGTTCGATGCCATAATACAGAGAAACCCTTACTTGTTTGAAGCATTTTTGTTCCAGCTGAATCGGACGATATCATTTTTGTAGGCCTGGGACAGATTCTGTAACCAGTTAACGACAATTTTCGAATCGGTATCGGTTTTGTCGACGTTTGATATCAAATATTTGTAAGTCAACAAGTGCGATATCGATCCGAAACTTGTCGCTAACTGGCTACAGAATCTCTCCCCTGAAAGGCTTCTTCATCCGTCAAAGTATTTTTCTTGAACCTTGGATCGACTAAGGTTAAAACTGATAAAATAATATTTTTCTGTGGCGATAAGTTCAAGTGTTTTAGCCGATATCATATAAATTAGTAATGAAAGTTTTTTCTAAACCTGAAATGCATATAATGGCGAGGGTTTAATGTAAATAATCGGTATCGGATACCGAAAAGGAAGTATAGGGTACCGAAATCTTTTTTAAGTATTGGGTACCGAGTATTGGGGACAATTCAGCACATCACTAGTCGCCCTCATTCTCGCCGCTCTCAGTTGTCAACTCTACGATGACGTCACGCTAAAATTACTCTCACGAATTCTGCTGCAATCGGTGCAATCTTGTATTCTATCATTCTTGATTTTTGCCGACCCCATTGTACACTAAAGTCAACCCTTGCTGCATGGTTGAGGCGTTTTTGGTGTATTGTTGAGCCCAAATAATTTTTCACCCTACGCTAGGGCTACACACAGTGTTGCCAGAACTTTTTGGACGAACCGGCTAAATTGGCAAATAAAACCGGCTAAAAACGGCTTAAATGTTTCAACTAAATTTCACATGTTTTATTTAAATAAATCACGAGTAAAAAGACTATTTCTTGGAGAGAAGTTACAAATTCGAGCCGGAAAAAGTTTTCCCAGCAAGAATTTGCAATTATATATAATTTGAATAAACCAGTTTGTTAAATTTAAAAATTTACAAACTGGAGCGATTTTAAAATGAAAAGTGTTAGTTAATACTTGTTTACTTAATGAATTTAGTTAATTCCAATGATTTGAAAGGTACTCGACAAAAAAAGCTATCTATTACTATTACTATCTGATATTTTGAGTGATAATTGTCTTCCCTACAAGGCCTTTTCAGACTGACCGATTCTCAATACACTCAGATAGAGACCAAGACACATAAAAAACGCTGTAAAAACTTCCCTTCAAGGCAGTAAAACAACGACCTTAAGTTAACATCAACCGAGGCCATATGTTGACAAATGATGCAAAATCACAGTTACACAAAAGAACTGATCAGATTTTTCAGAAATCCCTTCAATTCTGATGTAAAATATGATGCCAAAAGACTGCAGATCTACCATTTAGATGACCGGTCATATGACCGGCAGATGCCTCGTAGGATTCCCAGAGAGTTTTGCTTTACATAGAAATTTGTGCTCTTTTATTTTCATTTTGACTCACTTCAGTGTTGGTTCCTTGAAATGCAAAAAAGCGGTAACTAACTAAAATTGTTTATTGCATAAAACGATTTGGAAACTTATAATTCGATGAAATGTATCATCATCAATCAAAACGTGAATTTTGCATTTTTAGTTAGTTACGACTTTTTATATTTCAGTGACGATGTGAGATAAGGCCTTGCATGTGCGTATCAAAGTACATAATGATCGTAATTGCTTTATTCCTTTATAAGTAAATAAGTACATAACTGATACTATTACGTCCTTCTATTGTAATATACATACTCACTAATTACAAATGTACATATGTTATATCATAGTTAGTAGTTGATTATTAGTATGTATTTAAGTTTGTGAATTAATTTATTTTATATTATTTTATTGTTTGTTTTTAATGATCTCATTGAATTTGCGTTAAGATTGTTGTTAATTTTTAACTGTTTTTGTAAAAAAAGTAAATAGAAAAGGTTTAGTAATTAAACGCAATTAACGAAACTTCAAAAATTTTCATCAAAATTTCTAATCAGAATTTTTAGAAAATTTTCGGGTACGCAGTTTTGTAGCCCTTTGAATTTCAGTCTCCTAAGTGCAAGTTTCAAATCGCCAATAATTACACTGTGAGACAAATGGTAGGGGTCAGTGATCGGGAAGGGTTCAAACTACCGGGGAAAGTTATATCGGTAAAAATTTAGAATTTTTTTTGTGGAGGGTGTTGCGCGTTTTCTTCCATATAACGCACGATCAAAATCTATTTTTATATGGAAGAAAATGCGCAACACCCTCCACAAAAAACATTCTAAAAAATCAACGGTAATTATTGGCGATTTGAAACTTGCACTTTAGGAGACTGAAATTGAAAGGGTTACAAAACTGCACACTTGAAAACTTTCTGTAAATTCTGAATAAAAATTTTTAAATTTGGATGAACATTGTTTGAATTTTTGTGAACTTTACATATAAAGTGTGAAGCTTTGATTTACATGATTATATATATATAATTGTGAATATTATATTAGAATAAGGTGTACACTTACATTTGACACTGACTGTATGTACATATATTCTAAATGAAAATTATTAAAAATAAATAAATAAACATAAATTGCAATCAACATCATTTTGAGTTTTCGGTTATACATCTTTCACCATTGTTGTATGTATATAAATATATGTATTATTTTTTAAAAAGGTTGTATTTAAACAAGGCACAGGACTAAAATTTATAAAATACAAAAAAAGACGAACAGAATTTTTATAACAACTTTAGTATTTTCGAACTCCAAGAAATCAAAGCGATTAAATATCCAAGTACAGGTTTTTATCAACTAGAAATTAAATAACAAAGTTGTTTTTAATTTAATTTAATGTATGTACATATTTGTTTTTTTTAAGTTCTTTTTGAATCTCTTATTAAAATCATACAGTGGGAAGCAAACCTGAGTGCATGGTGATTTTTATTAAATATTGGCAAGGCTTTTAAAGTAAAATTTTCCTTCAAACTGTATTTTCTTTTTTTTTAATTTCTTAAATCACTAAGTTTTTCTTATTATCACTATTTTTTTGTCCAGTCTTTTTGCGTTGTTTGATCTTGCCAGGTTGTTGCAATTTTTCGAATATCACCGCCAAGAGGAAACCATGTAATTACAATATCTGAATGTGGATAAATAAAACTTTATTTTGTGAGTAGTGTGCAGATTTCTATTAGTGATTTCATACCTTTACGCATGCTGCTATCTTGTCTCCATTTTTCAACCGAAATCCATTAAAATGTCCATAGTAAACCGAGTAAATGTGATATATTAGTTAATTAGTTTAGTTGCGGGTATATGAAATCTTTTAAAATATTTCGGAGCTCGAATGCTGATGTAGAGGACCGATTTGAAACTGTGTTGGAAATGCTTTGAAGGGAATTTTGATCATCGTGATCTCTGTGAGCATTGGTAATATAACTATTGTCTCTATGCAGCATTAAGAAATTATGCAGTACTATAGTAGCTAACACAACTTTGTCAGCGTTCTCTGGATTGGCATGAATGTTTATATGAAGGACTCGCCATCGATTTGCTAGAATGCCAAATGCATTTTCGATATGTACACGAGCTTTTGATAAAGCTTTGTTAAATGCTGTTTTATCCGGGGATAAGAAATGGCCAGGAAAAGGTCGCATTAAATTTTTTTTTAGGGGAAAGGCATTATCAGCCACAAAGTAATAGGGAAAGTTGATTGAAGTATGAGGTAAAGGTCGGTCCGGTGGCACTTCCAAGGTTCCGTCTAAAATTTTTTTACCAAAGGCGGTTCTACTAAATATACCGCCATCGCTTTGAGAACCAAATGATCCAACGTCAACATAGGTGAACACATAGTTGGCATCACAAGCCGCTAATAGTGTGATGCTAAACCGTTTTTTATAATTAAAATAAAGTGAGCCACTTTTTCTTGGACGGAACATATTAATATGCTTGCCATCAATTGCTCCCACGCAATTTGGCATTCCAGTTTTTATGAAAAAATCATCAGCAATTTTCCGCAGTTCTGTGACATTTGGTGGAGAAACGTAAATAGAACCGAGCTCAACCCACAGTGCATCACATGTTTCATAAATTATTTTTCGCACAGTTGAAATGCCAAGCTTATACGCCCAAGCCAGAACTTGTACATTAAATCCTTGAGCTAAATACCTGTAACATAAAATTTCGGCGTGTGTTTTAACCTTGGAAAGTCATCCTTCGTCGATTCGACGAACTGACAGGGATGACATTCAAGGATTAAAAATCAGTAGTATTTTAGATGCAGTAAGATTTGAGAACTTAGTCCGAAGTTATAGGAACAGCGTTCTGCCACGTGTAAGACATAGCTGAAAAACACCGGGAACGTTTTCCTGTAACTTTAGACAAAAACCTGCAAACCTTCCTGAATCTAGAACACTAATATTAATACTTACAAAAGCATTACCGATACCGTGTTTCAACTCCAATTGGGG